ACTTAACAGTCTACGGTGTATGGTCATTGAAAATGAGTCTCAATCTATATTTAGACTTGGAAAATCCAATTCAGCCAGTTAATATGATACTACACCCAGTGAATATGATTTTATAAAAAGTTATGTTGACTACAGTTTGGACCAATGAGATTGCAGCTAATTTTAGATCATATGATAAAAACAGTTATCGCATGGTTTGGAACTTTTCCTTTGTTCTCTCTAACCCATTATACTCAGTACACTTCAATGCGCATTTCAAAACTGTATTGGTATATAACAGTACAGTTTTTTCATTGATTCATATAGGAAAAAAACTCGACTGTTATATATCGGTCGAGTTTTTTTTCGCACCTTGTATATATCAATACAGTTTTTTCATAGAGGCTCCAATGGGGCAGTGGTAACGACCATTCCCAATAGCAAAAAAAAACATAAAATAATAAAAAAATGAAATCAATAAAATAAAATAAAATAAATATATAAATACAATGAAAAATATAAACAAAGATAATTAATGAAATGAAAAAAGCCCTTTAATCTTAAATCAATCTTGGTAACAGTATACAGTCCGCCTCTTATATTGGATGTCTTTTGTATATATTTTTTTGCGGCAGCGAAAACAACTTGAAAAACTGCCTTATGATAAATAACTGTAATGTAGCTAACGATTAATTTATTTATTTGTTTCTATACAAAAAAGAAAACATTATGCCATTGCGATAAAACAGTTATAGTATATGAAACTCGTTAGTTACGGGGGTATAACACTGGCTAGGGCGACATCTCGGGATGTTTCTGCAAAAAAATTGTCTCGGCCTTTCGGCCTCGCCATTTTTTAACATAAACACCCCTTGATGTCGCCCCAGCCAGTGTTATACCCTCGTAACTAACTTGTTTCATATACTATAACTATTACGTAATACATTACAATGACCAAAGGTCTCTAGGGTTTCGTATTAATTTGAAAATGAATTCGTATTATTCACAAAGCAAAACACGTTCGTTATATACTTTAAGTCAAATGTCTAAATGTTGCATGATTTTTAGTGATTTTTGCTATTTGTGGCTATTACTTTGTCATTTCTAATAGAGTATCTTCAAAATTGAAAACAAGAATCTTTAAGGATAGACAATCAAAATATATAGAGTGAACCTTGATCTTCATTAATAAATGAGCTTGACCTTGAAGTTCAAATCATTGACATTTACATTTATTTTTTGCTGTAACAAATTAATTTAACTTTATTATTAATGAATGGATTGACTGGATAGATACAACATTCTTAAGGATAAGACCTTCGTGTATATTGACCTTAACTCAATATTGACATTGAAGGTTAGATTATTTAAATTTTGAATGATTTTGCTATAATTGATTGAAATTTTGTCAAAAATAAATTGATTTTTTTCATACTAGGACAAAATACCTTTATGATAAAAACCTTCTAAAATGTGTAACTGGCATTGAGCTTTAAATGACCTTGACTGTCAAAAGCAAATGTTTGAGAACTGGTAAATTTGTCATAATTTTGTAATTTATGTACCGATTTGAATTAAACTTTGACGAAACAAGGCTTATTATCAAATAAACATATTGAATGATTAATATGTAACCTTGACCTTTGTCATTGACCGTCAATGTCAGATAAATAAAATGTTCTTGTTTTTTCTTTAACTGGCTATAACTTTATTTATAAATTGTCAACTTACTGATTTTTGGTCAAATTGTCATAAAATTAATTTTGTTATTATACCCCCACAAACATAGTAGGGGATATACATGTATAGGAGTCAGCTGTTCGGCGGGTCGGTTGGTCCGTAGGTCGATCTCCTTGGTTTCCAGACCATTACTTCTGTTTGGAATAAGTTATTGTAATCAAACTTGGTATATAGCAACCTCGGGTAACCACCTCGGTTTGTATTGCTGTTAAACTCCCTGGGGTCAAGGTTAAAGGCACTATTACTAAAAATAGAAAGTGGTTTTCAGACAATAACCAGATTTAGGAATGAGGTATTGCAATTAAACTTGGCATATAGCAAAATCCCAGGTTGGTATTGCATTTGGACCCCCCTCAGGTCAAGGTCAAGATCACCATTAATCAAAATAGAAAAATAATTTCCAGACAATAACTGAGTAAGGAATGAAATATTGTAATTTAACTTGGTATATTTAGCAATCTTATATGAAGACCCAGCTTGTTTTCACGTTTGGATCAAGGTCAAGGTCACCATTACCAAAAATAAAAATGGTTTTAGGACAATAACTCGAGTTAGGTATTAGATATTGTAATCAAATATATAGATTGGTATATATCAAACTTTATATCAGACCCAAGTTAAGATTGCTTTTTGACCCCTTGGAATCAAGGAGGAATAGGCCACCGTTACTAAAAAAAAAGAACAATGGTTTCTGGACATTAGCCAGAGTAAGGAATAAGATATGGCAATCAAAAATAGTATATAACTAGCTTATATGAAGACCAAAGTTAGTTTTACGTTAGAACCCCTTCGGGTCAAGATCAGGATCACTGTTACTAAAAATAGAAAAACAGTTCTGGACAATAACCAGTGTTAGGAATGAGATATTGTAATCAAACTTGGTACATAGCAAGCTAATATGTCATCACGGGTTTGGACTCCCTCGGGTCAAGGTCACTGTTACTAAAAAAGAAAAACGGTTTCTGGACAATAACTAGAGTTATGACTGAGATATTGTAACCAAACTTGGTATATAGGAAGCTTATATAAAGACCAAGGTTGGTATTGCGTTAATACACCCTCAAGTTAAGGTCAAATACACCAATACTAAAGATAATAAAACGGTTTTTGGACAATGATAAGAGTTATGTAATCAAACTTGATATATAACCTTATATGAATACCCAGCTTTGGATTACTTTTGCACCCGTTGGGATCAAGGTTAATGGCCCCGTTACTAAAAATAGAAAAATAGTTTCTGAACAATAACTTTAGGAATGAGATATTGCAATTAAACTTGGTATATAGCAAGCTTATATGAAGAACCAGCTTGGTCAAGTTCATCGTTACTTAAAATAGAAAAATGGTTTCTGGACAATAACTAGAGTAAGGAATGACATATAGAGCAAGCTTTTATGAAGACCTCAATGGGATTGGTTTTGTACTGCCGGGGATCAATGTCACAGATGAAACATCATGAATAATAGGTAGAGTTTAAATTTTGCTTCAGAACACTTATTATTTTTCCAAAGGTTAAGGTTTTGGTTGGGGTTATGAATCACCTTTAGTGATAGCTCTAGTTTATAAATAGATTTGATTTATATTTGCACAAAACAAAACTTGTGGCCAAACATATTAAATTATTTAGATTTGACCTTAAAAGTGACATTATGCTCATATTTTCATTATCAAGTTGAGCTGAATTGACTTAATATTTCAAAAGAATGACTGTAAAGATGATGTTTGACCAACAGATGTTTAGGATACAATTTAAAATCTGCATAAAATATAAAAAGACTGCCCCACTCTTTTTATAAATTGAACGTTACATGTAAATTCAGTTGTTATTTATTGTTTATGCGAAGTAAATTATTTAATCAAAAGGAATTATGGCAAAAATGAAAATTAATTTTGACTCTTACCTGTTTACTCAGTATATACCTTTAGATTGGCATAATGTCACTTTAACTGACGTTGACCATCAATGTCATATTAATTAAATTAACTTTTCATGTAGTAATGATATTTGGACCATGCGCGCAATTTAAACTTTGATATCGATTATTCGACGAAATTGTCCTTTTATGCACAGTTAAGATCTAAAAATGGACTAAGATATCAGTTGACCTATATAATTTGATGAATTGACCTATTTTCTTGTCCCTTCAATGTACAGCTATTAAACTTTAATACATATGCGCGGCTTTAGATGTATAATTGTAATTTAATATCAGGTGACATAGATTTTGACAAAGTGACATACTTTATTGTCTTTTGATGTACAGCTATAAAAATCTGGATCGCATGCAGTTTAAGATATTAAGTTGAACTTAGATGTCAGCTGACCTAGATAATTTGATAAAGTGACCTTCTTCTTTGTCCTTGTATGTACAGCAATGCGATCGAGCCGCACAGTTTTAGATGTAAAGTAGAACATTGAACACTATGGTTATGATTATAATAATAAATACTTGGACAAAACAATAAGTGAAACCTACCTATTGAAATAAGAAAACGAAAAATTGATTTCTTCTTTTTTATTTTCATTTGAAAGATTTGTTTAAACTCATAATTTGTTTGGTTTTAGAAAAAGAAAAAAGTCAAGCGTTGCCCCCGCCCGATTATGGCTCTTGTTATTGTTTTTTTCTGGTTCTGGTTATATGATGATAGCTTTTCAATTAGAAGCATGCGTATAATATGACGACCATCATTATTTCTTCAGAATGAACTGTAATTACTATACTTTGGGTCCCAGCAGTTATATAGCGCCGAGAAGACCTTTTACAGTTATTATACCATGTCATGATCCTTATTTACCATTTTCACCTTTTTTATACACGGGGGAGATGATGGAGTTCTTATGATAACTTGTCAGGAGTTTTTGTGATAACTTTCACGGAGTTCGTCGGAAAACTTTTGTATATACTACAAAAATGCTCGTCAAAAACGGTAAATTTCATCTTTAAAAAGTAAGTTTTATGTGCTACGCAAACTTGAAGGATTAAGCTTGCCATACATCTTGTATTATGTGTCAAAAACTAATTCGGAGGCCATTTTTCGTTGTTTCTTGTTTAAAACCTTTCTTATATGTTATTTGCAATATCATTTTAGTTGAAGATAAAATATAGTGTAAAATGTTCTGCTAAAGTTTTATCAATAAACGGGAATCACGAAATCCCTTATATTTATTCGTTATAACATACTCGTATGATTCCGTTTTGTCGGTAGTCAGAGAAACGTAACAATATAGTATGTTTTACTAAAACTACAAATATAAATTGTCAAAAAGAGACTTTAGTCATTTTTTCATAATTTCTTTTACTTCGATTGAACAATAAAGAACTCACTTTGCCGGAGGAAACTTCAAATAAATACCCATCGGAGTAACGTTCAATTTATAAAAGAGCAGTTCTTTTATTTTCTTCGCAGATTAGTATAGTTTATCCTAAACCTTTGTCAATATCAACTGTTATCACCATCTTTTGAAATACTTATAAAATATAGAAAATATATATTGCTAAGTCGGATTTACTTCACAGTGAAAGTACGAGCATAATGTCACTTAAACCGTACCTGTGAGACTAAAAGATGACCAACTTCAATTTCAGCCTTGGATTGCTGACCTTTGTAAGTGCAATACCTAACCACCTAATAAACAATGGCAAAATATGCTTATTCGTATCATTTAGTGCACCACAACAACTATTTGATTGGTTAACTTTATGGTAAAACACTGCACATTACATGCCATTAGTATAGAGTAAAATCATATCTATAGTATAGTGGCACAATATAACTGCAAAACAACAACAAATATTTTGGAAAAATAATGTGCATGTATCAGCACAGAATAAATGTACTTTGTTAGACAAATGAAAAGGATAATTATAATTATAAAGCAATATAAATATATAATTTGACAGTCTACTTATAGAAATAATTCTAAAAACCTACATTAATGTTTGTTTTTATATATCATGTTTTGTTTAATGTCTGTCCATTACTGATCAAGTTTTAGCTTTTCCATTTCTGTTTGTTCATCATCTTTTTTGTCCAACAGATGATCTAGAAAATCTTGTGCAAAGTTTAACATCTGCCGCAGTGCCAGCAATTGGAGGATACTGTTGTTGTCATGAAGCTCTAGCTCATTCTCGTAATTTTTCACCGGAAGTACATTTGCACGAGGAAGTCCGAGAATTTGTGAGGCTTTTTCCACGTGTTGCTGCACTTCCGGGCTATTGAATACCAAGGACACATCTTGCTCAACTTCTTTACAGAGTTTGTCTATCTTTGTAAGTAAAATGATTTGCGGGATTCCTGAAATTGTGTTAAAATATTATGGATGTTTGTTTGAAATGTCATGAAGAGATAGAATTACTCTTCAGGTTTGAACATTTATATAAATGTTACATGTTGTATAAAATACTGAATCATACAATGTATAACGTTGTTGGCATGTGAGACACATCTCGAGGTGAGTGTTACAATACAGTACCTAGTTATCAAATTTCATTTTTATCTTATGAGAAAATAAACTATTTAAATCAATTCAATTTAAAAAAGCGCTTTTTTTCAAAAAAATGTCCGAGAAAAAGCAACAACTTCTTTTGAATTCAATATGTTATTAATAATCTTACATTTAAAGATTTGATTGTTATGCTGATGGAATCCAATTACTACTGCTGTAATGAACAACCCTCTATATAACTGTTAATCGTATGACTTAAATTTTACTGTAAGTTCATCAATGGCCAATGTATTAAATACTTATCGATAATAATAATATATCGGTATTTGACTATTCCAACTGCCTAAAATGGAACATATCATTTAAAAGACAAATGATTAATGCTACGTCAAGACAATAAGTATATTTTTCTATACTGAATATTTACATGTACATAAAATCGCTGTTTTTGAATGGTATCACGTGACTGTCCAATATATTTTCAATTTTTCCCACATGACACTCGCTTAAAATCAATAACAAACAGCGACACATATCGAAATGTATTGACTGTCTGACATTTTTATTAGAAAATATTATTAAGTAACACTTTGCGTTTTCTCAATTTCATTTTTTTACATAAAAACAACTATTTAACAAAGTATACAATGAAGAATATATGGACTCGTGCGCATCCTCAGAAACCATATTGAGGAAGCCTGGCGGCTTGACTGATAGGGTTTCTGCATATGTGTCCAAATATATCCCTTATTTAATATACAGTAAAATGTCGACCAGTCTTTAATAAAAACGACATCTGTTTCGTTATGTCAAATACATAGATGATATTGAAGTTCTTGAAAATTGCACAAAAAAGACAACTCTCATTTTCATAAATATCAATGGCTCTTACCTTTCTGATTCATCAGATTTTGGAATCCTTTCATTTTCTCTATTATCTTTGAAGACAATACTTCTAACGTGGTTGCGTCCAAAACGAATACTGCACAATGTATTACGTCGTTATCAGTAGGATTTACCTTGAAACCAGGGGTTTTAGGTGTTATTTGGGTGTTTGTGTTGAACTTGAAACAGAATTAATAACAAATTGTTATCCAAATACAAAAAGCACACATGCCGAAGTTAAGTTTTTTTTTTGTATTTCCCGTTTTTATTACCGAAATATTTTTTTAGGAATACTTTTTATGCAAATACATACAGACGCATAAAGTATTTTTTCCCTTTCCCCTTATTTTGGTTTAGATTACTTCCAATTTTTATCCAAAGACATTTATATAAATACTCGTACAGCACGCATTAATTATGTATTACTTTTATATTTCCCGTTCTTATTGTTGTTTTTTGAAAAGAATATAGTTACCCAAAAACATACAGCATACATACAAACATATATTTATATATTTCATTGTTTTTTTACTTCATGATATACACTATTTTTAGATGATAAACGAAACAATGACCAATCAATGATCAAAGTATATATCAAGAGATTACATGCGAGAATTTGATAAATAGGACTATTTAGCATCGTTTTGTTTCAAAATTCGTTACATGGTTGAATAGCTTTTGCATTACAACATATAAATGCACCACTGTCCGTCCACAAATCTATATAGGGAGAGGAATCAAGAGGTCACTAGTTCGATCCTCGGGCGTGGCGGAATTACTTCCTGACAATTGATCTCGGGCAATGAGTCGAATGCTCATTAATTTTTTGTCTCTCGCCGCTAATTCAGAAATCATATGCGATAAGTTATCGGTCACTTGTCGATAAATTGATTACAATGGTTAGTTATTCAGGAAAGCCTGTTATGTCAGCGTGAGAACAGAACAGAACAACAATTTTATTCATGACTTGTACAATAAGTACATCATCACATATACAAATATATACAATATGCATTATTGTCACAGTGAAATAACATATTTACATTACATATCAATTATCATAATTATGAGGATGAACTACAATTAATTGTAAGTAAATGTAGTTCTAAGAGATAATGCATTTTTAATATACAAAGCTAGATTTTTCAAAAGTAAATTGTTTGTTGAATTTAAAAGATCTAAAAACTTATCAACGCTAGGTCTAACGTAGTAATAAGGTTTAATATATGTTTTTCTAAGCTCAACATAACATGGACAAATAATAATAAAATGATATTCATCTTCCAGATCGTGCATGCTACAATAAACGCAATAACGTTCATTCCTAGGTAACCTATTATTTCCAAACCTGCCAGTATGAATAAGTAAAGGATGAGAAGACATTCTGATTTTACTAATAAAAAATCTCAAATTGCTTGGCAAAATGTCTAAGTACAGTTCATATGTAAAATTGTGTTTAATATTTGTATACAAATCTAAAACGTTATTGTTTTCCTTATCAACATGCCAGGTTTGGACAAAAGTGTCTATAAGCCTCTGTTTAAACATAGGTATAAATAGATTTACATCAACAGATTCTGGGTTATTCCAGATATAATTAAAACCATTTTCGTTTAACAATTTCTTAACTTTTGTTACCCAGTTTGTTTTACTATTATTACAATCATTTAGACTTATATTATAAACTTCCTTAAGAATAACGTTATCTGTTTTAATAATTCGAAACCAGAATTTCAGAATTTTAACATGTCTTAATATATATAATGGATAACGTGCTAACTCTCCATATACAGCTGCATTAGACGTTCTTATATTAACATTTAATATCTTTTTACAAAATTTCAAATGTACCCTTTCTATTTCTTTAGATTTGCCGTAGCCCCAAATTTCAGACGCATAGTTTAATATTGAACCTACAAATGAATCAAATAGTTGACAAAGCAATTTGGGTTTCAGTCTATATTTATTACATTTTATTAACAACACATTAAGAGCTTTCAATGCTTTGCCAACGAGTTGTTCTTGATTGAGTGCAAAATTACCTGTATAATTGAAAACAGTTCCTAAATAGTTAAAATCATTTACAACATGTAACTTATGGCCTTTGTAAAAAAATTCCTCCGAAGGCAATAACCCTCCTCTTTTTCTAAAAACCATAACTTTTGTTTTATCAATGTTAACTTCAACAAGAATAAGAAAAAGAAACACCTATTTTCATCTAAATAATTCGAGGAATACTTTTTCACTGGTCTCAGTAGAACTATCGATTATACAGTTAAAGTTTCTTACCTGATAGTAGTTTGGAATGTTACCATCAAGCAGATAGTTACACTCGAGGACATCTAGACCCTGCGACTCTTCTAAACCACGTGTGTCACATAACCGGAAATTCAGTGGCGCCCCTGACTTGACTTTTACCTTGTATGGGGTGTACTGAAGAAAACGTTGTTCATGATATACAGAACTTACGAAGTCATTTGTTACAGCAACTATATGGGAAGAGTGACAATTTATCTTTACTTTCACGGTAATCTGACGATTACGACAAATAATAAGACTTATTTAACACTATGTAATATGTAATCTTTTTGGTTTAGTTTTGTTTTATGGTCATTACTTCCAAACTAACAAAGTATCCATTAAAACATAATATCATGATGCATCTTGATGTGTTTGACGTCAAGGGTCAAATTTTTAAAATATACATTTACTACCAAAGCTATTCACTGAAAATTTGCTTTATACTTATACATTTTATACCCGTGATGCCATATCACAAGAACAAAAATAATCTAAAATCCTATTTTGCAAAGCTATGCCCATTAATTTACTTAAATTCTTTTGGACATTCTTTCTGTTAAGATTAATGTCTAAAAAAACACCTATAAAAACAGTTTAAACGTTCAAGATCTGTTCAATATCTAAATTGAGAAGCATTTCTAAGGGATAGAAAACCTTGGAGGTAATTTGTGCTCAATTTTTATACTTTCGTGATTTTCTGAGAAAAAAAAACTGAAAACAAACATGTTCACTTCAAGCTTGAAAAACATGTCAACTGTCAAGGGACAATTTTTCAGAAAAATGGACCTTTTTATATTTTGCTTTATCATTTTTATCAAGTATATGCACTGAGAAAAGTGTAGCGTTTCGCTCCTTGGGCAACTCTTGTTAACACGGCATCGATTTGGGTATAATTTTAGTTCATATCTCGGCATCAACGTCGTCGTCGGCATCAGGTAACGCTTTGGATAAAGTTTTACATGGAACTTCTTGTACAACATTATATCTCATTAACCACAAAAGAAAGCTGTTTGTATCTTCATACACTTTTTGAGATCATACTTAGTGGTAACTATTTAAGGTCTATAACTATAGCATGGGTTTTAACTGAATTATGGTATATTGGAACTTTTTTGGTGCAACATTAATCTTCAAAACTACTGAAGGTATTTACTTAAATCTAACAAATGTCTTCGTGATCTCTTTTCAAAGACAATATATCTTACATTGATTTTGATTGAATTATGGCCCTTGTTTTATGATTATCAACAGGCACAGAGATTAGTCGAGCGCTCGATTTCTACTGAAGACTCTTGTTGTTGTTCTACTGGCAAATTAAAAAAATGGAAATGGTATTCTTATATAAAAGTGTACATATTTTTTTATTATTATGATTATCATTGTTATTTGTTGGGTTTTACTTACATTGCACCATCACAGTATATTAATATGGCGACTTTCAAGCTTAAACTGGCGTTATTTCAGGCACGAACGGGCACTGAGTACAACCCTGATGTTCCGTAATCTAGTTAGATATCTTCCTCACATGAAATAATTCCAAGTTCCTGTCGGGATTCGAACCACAGCACTGAGGGCAAATAGTTTGAAGTCAACACCTTAACCACTCAGTCACGATCTTGTCAAAATATATATGTGTCACTGTGACTTCGACCTTTGACCTAATGGACAATCGAAATTTATAGGGGTAATCATTTGGCAATGAAAGAAATGTTCCTACCAAGGTTTTACAACTAAGTCTACTTACTGCTCAAGTTATGATCGGAAAAACATTTCAATGCAATATTTAACCTTTGACCTAATAATCGAAAAATTAATAAAGTAAGTTAAAGCAGTGGAGGGGTATATATCTACCAAATGACTTTTACACACTCAAGAAATTAATCGGGAAAATGAAAATGGACGGACGTACGGAAGGTAAATACGGATGGGATGGACAGATAAACAGATCTACGACATCCCATTACCGTATGCTCCCGCTTTAAGACGGGTTTAACATGCATGATTTAGAGCTAGATCTATCTTAATTCATTACAGTAGACATGCAACTTGTTGATAATATAAACTTATAAATGTATTCTCACGCAGTTGTCAAACTCTGTTCGGCGCTACCACTACATGCCTTCTGTGTAATTCGACCTTGAATAGTTCGAATTGATAGAGTTGAAAAAACTCGACTTCCCGGCACCAACAGGACCAATAATTAAAATACGGGCATCTTTCACCTTTAGGTCAGGGATTGGTTGAAGGAAACAATTTCTTTTGTTAGCTCGTTCAGAAACTGAAAAATATTAAACACTTAATTGATTGTTCTAAACGTAAGACTAAAAACATAAAATGGTAAGTTTGCTTTTCCTTTTGGCAAAATCCTTTTGGCATGTTTATATGAATACATTAACGCATGTGTAGGCTCAGTTTATGTATTTATACTGCCCAAGCAACAAGTGTTTGTAACTAACATAAAGCACAAAATGAGTGCGCTTCCTTTGAGGTGGTTGATTGACATTTTTTGTTGTGGATGCGCATGATTGATTATTTCACAGTTTTATATTATGATGAACCATGATGATATGGTAGCATATTTTGGCACCAGAAGCTTGAGATATTTCATTTATTATTACCTCATGACAAATGTTGCATATCCCGAGACTTTCCATGTCAAAAAGGGAAATTCCCCTGGAGCAATGAAAACAACAAAATTAAACAGTTACTGGTAAAAAGTTGATTGATAATAGTCAACAAATACAGAAAATGCTAAATATATGACTGTTTATGTTTGGAAAAATAGAAAATTGACGCATTTATGTTGTTTTTGAAATGTCAATACAATATATTTTGTCAAATATTGTAGTTACCAGTTCATTCCAGCATTTAGTCATTCGCCATGGTTTCATGTCCTCCTTCTTGACTTTGCTTGGTCTTGTCCCATCTTGAAAAAAATATAAAAATCAGCTGTTGTCATATGAATGTCATTTGTTTAAACTTTATACATGTACTCACAATAGTCATTTCTATTAATTACTTTATTAATCAGCATAAGCACTTTTAAATCGCATTGTATAAATTGCTATGGAAAATCATAAACAAAAACAATTTAAAATATAAGATTAAGATTTTTTTTTTTTAACTCGGCTTTATGCAGCACAACATGAGATATTCATCAGTTAAAACTTCCTCATTACATTGATAAACCTCAAGTTAAATGTCATGCGTTTCAAAGTAAAGCAACATCACATACCAATTACAATAAACTGTAAAATATTTTATTACATCATTTTTTGCGAACATCTACGGTTCAAACGACTTGTATTGAGGCATTTGGTCTGACGTTTGTTTTTAAATAGATTTGATGATATGATGTCTTATACCTCCATATATATCCTTAACACTGCTAGGGTCATAAGGTAAATGTGCCAATAACTAATAAAATTTTGTGTGGATTTAACAGGACAGAACATAACAGAAGTTTTATTTACGTGTACAACACATGTCTCTTGTTAGCAACGTCAAATGTAAACATAATTTTCTTTATAAGCAAACACGTTTTCAATAGTCCACAGATGAATGAGCATACATTGGGTGTTTTTGACAATATTCAAATGTTTTATACAATAAATCTAATATTGCAATGAGAAAGAAATATTTCAACACAACATGGGTTAGATAATACCCACTTTAGCAGAATATAAGTAAAGATCATATACATATGAGGATTTTAATCATTAGTTTATGTACAATTTAGGCTGTTTGAAAAACTTAGTTAACTTCTTGGCATAACTCAATTTCTAATTTTTTAATGACTGAGTTTTTGCACCTTGCACAGATTGCAAGAACGCAGTTTTGTTTGACTGTAACAATTCTAGAAATTTTACATACTTGTATAACATATGTAACGTTGATATATTTTTTTCGCATTTGTTTATGCATTTTCAAATAAGTACAAATGAAAATTCATTCTTCAATTTCGTTAGCACAGAACTTCCTTCTCTCTAACATATCGCGTCCTTTGCAGATTCAATTTTCTAAAATTATGTGCAGATATACGCAAATTAATCAATAAAAGCTTGTTTGAAGTTAGCAATAACTGAGGTAAATTTGAACATCGATGGTTCTAACATAAAAATATTTTTTTTTATATATGTCTTTTACGAATATTATTTAACAAGGACAAACCAGAACAAAATGATATTCATGTTCAATATCAAGAGTATTACAGCACTGACAATATCTCTTCGTTTCTGGTATTCTATGTCATTACTTATCTACCAGTTTGCTATTTTGAGAGAATGGGCTGATAATCTTATTTTGGAAATATACATTCTTTAACTAACGTGGCTAAAAAGTCAAGGTAAATTACATACGATAAAATTTAGTTTGGCCTTTTATATATATCTAAAACTATTTTCAAATTACTATGCCAATCTTGTACATAATTATCAATAAGTCCTTTGTTTACATATTCTGGAAATAATTTACCATCAACATTTATCACTATTTATAAAACAATCAGCAAAACCATGTGTATACAATAATCGTTTAACATTGAGGACCCAGTTGATTATATCCATGTTCACAATCAATACACTTTGTTCATAAACTTTTTTCATAATTATTATTATCAGTTTTGGATTGTTTTACACCAAACACTTGATAACTTTAACAAAAAGATCAATATATAAAGGCCACCTTCCTAATTCACCATAAACCCCTGCATTACATGTACTTGTTCTGACACTTTTAGAACATTTTTGCAAAATTTAAGTTGAATACATTCCATTTTCTTAAGATTTAGAATGTCCCCATACTTCAGCAGAGTAATTTAAGATAGAACAACAAATGAATCGAGCAGTTGGCATTTGAGTTTAGGTTTTATATTCATTTTTTTATAATTATATAGTAAAACATTTAATGCCTTAAGACCTTTGCCAATAAGTGTTCCTGGTTTAAAGCAATGTAGCCGTATTAATTGAAAAAATATACCGGGTAGTTAAAAATTATCAACTTTTTCTTATTTGTTGCCCCTTAAGTTGTACCTTTTCTTTGCACGCTACCCTACCTCTTTTCCTAAAAAACATAACCTAGTCGTTTTCACGTATTAAATACACAAGAATTTGTTTGTCTTTACCTGACTTATCAATTTAGCTACATTTATGTTTGAGAATTTGGTAATGGTTATCAATAGAATCCACAAAAAAACCACAGTTTTAATGTGACAGAATGAGGGGAATAACTAATGAATTTTGAAACAAATATTTTAGCATTTACTTCCCCTTCATTATTCAAAATCAATACAAGAAACTAATCCATATTAGTCGAAGCAAAAATTTCACAATATGCAAGTTTGTTGGGTTTGTTTCTTTTTTTAAGTTACTTTTACATTACATTGTTCTAGCGCATTTTATAAATAATTACTATCTGTATTCAATGCTTAAACTAATACTTAATTTAATAATATGGTGAAATATCCGATTTATTTTCTCGAGTGGCATTGAGAATATAATATTTCATGAGTTAGCGGTAGCACGAGGGAAATATGATTATGGTTTATACCACAAGATGAAAATACATCATGTATTAAAAGAAACAACTTGAATTTTCTGTTTGCATATACATTTTCTCTTTTTGACATTACACTTTGAAAGATTTCCCTGTATTTTTTTGTGTATTGGCTGAATTTTGAAGAAATAGTCCCAGCAAGACAGAAAACCCCTTGTGAACTGTTATATTAAATTTCAAGTTATTCACTACATCAATACAAAAATTTATATTTTCTCCAGATATTTAAACATTAGTTATTTATGTATAAACTAGTAACTTACATTCAACTTTGTAGACCTCTAGCTCCGTGACGTTCAAATTGCCATTATTGATATCGTTTGCAGTTAAATCCTTGGTGTCGTAAGTGCTCCCAAACTTTGCGTAACCATTTAGAGCAAAATTTGTGCCCGAGCTGTTCACTGTGTTTGAGAAAGTGCATATGTCATGGCCATTACCAAATATTGGACCGTGAGATGGATAACAGAAGAGAGCATACTGATAATGTGATGCTTTTATTGGAAATTTTGTGGTTTTCTCATTTCCACCAAATCGTAGCTGATACAGGAAAGCAGAAGAGTTTGTTGATGTACTGGCCAGAAACACTATCCCTGACAGGAGCATAACCACCATACATTTGATCCTTGTCTGGGTTATACAGCACTGTGACTTGTAGGTCCCCTGGTTGTTACATTTTAGGTTGGAACGTCCCTGTAGCAGTACATCCATCTCTTGTAATGGCATAGAGAAGTGTAAATCTTTTAGGACCTGTACCTATCCATTGTTCTAGCTGGTCCATATCTTTGTCTGTTAACTTTCCTCCCATTGTGCAAGATCTGTATCAACAAAAATATGGCTTTAAATTGTTCTATTGTTATCCCGCATACTATATAGGTCTTGAATAATAAGGCATCATATTGACTTGACTTTAATTTGCTAAAAAGTATTTGTTTATTTATCTAGGTCTGAAAAAATCTCTTTTAAAGCAAACTTACACTTTGAAAACCTCAAACAGATTTCTTTATGCATATAGATTTTAATTGTTCATGCTATAAATCGTTTATCAGACTTAACAATCACGCACACGCACACACACCCCCCCCCCCCCCACACACATATCATTTAAAGTGTATATTAGTTATAGCAAATGAAATTCTTTTACACAATTACAGGGCTGGGAATCAAAACTGCGTCGTATCCTACAAAATGTAAACAAACGCCGCCATCTTGGAACGAAAAACGTATGTTTTTGTTTTTAACTTTTTTTGTTGGAAATGAATGAAAACCAGATATATGTATTATAACACGCTACACCATTTTCCGCTTCGTTCGGTATACGTTGCTTGCACAAATATTTTGTAAAACAAAAGTTATAGCGAACTTGCAACTCGAAGCGGGGCAGAATTTTTATGAAAATGTGTGGATACGACGCAGTTCATATTGCTTTATCTATCGTTTTTTCTTCAAATCAATTATATTTGTTTCAGAGTTCACCATAAACTTCGAAATATAATGTTGCATCATTTACTTAAATTTCATTAAAAAGAGATGTTTATTTTCTAAGAAAATAATGATTTTTCTACGAATGATACGACGCAGTTTGAAAATAAAATATGATACGACGCAGTTGTGTTTTTGGCAGTCTTTTTCAACAGGGATTGATTTTGGCAATATATTTCTATTTTTATGGAATAAATCACTTGCGCTAGATAAAAAACCCCAGATCATTTGCGGTGTATTATAGCAATATTCTGTTGCTTTTGATTATTTAGAATACATTGTGTCATGTCCAATATAACATTTAATTTGAAAGTTTTACATTGCGGAAGCTACTTTTCAGTTAAACATGAACATGTTACCTAATTGATCATAATATATCTGAAATAATTTCTTATATTTTCCTGTATGTTCAATATTATCCCTAATTTTTTCGCAAAATAATGTAGAAATCTATTAACTTTGAATTCATTTTCGCTAGCTACGCTCTAAGTTAAATGTGGTTCTGCATGTTCTAGGTAATGACTGCTTTTTTGTGGTTTGTTTTCAAACTTTTACTCTACACATTAGCTTTACTAGGGCGAGGACCTCAGGTGCGCCTTTGTGCATTTTTTCAGGCAAAATGTTGCACCTGCAGAGAACCATCGACATTTTGAAACTAGCTTGATAGGTTTTCCACACGAAAGAATAAAAAGTCCCTGGTGGGTTTCGAATTCATAGCAGTTCAGTTCAAGTGATTTGAGTTAAGTAAACAGCTCGGCCTCGGTCGGACACACCTGTCTGATTTTTCTTTCAACAAAATTGGTTAACGTCAGCTGTACAAATAAGCAGCTTTTTTATTAACTTCTGGCATGAAGTTTTAAGATTATAAATATTTGAATTAATTATAAAGTGAATTACATTTAAATTTCTTCTTTCGGTATGACTAGCAGAGAAATTTTCAATGTAAACAGGGGGTAATCCTCTGTGAAGTCATTTTCTGAAAACTTTTGTTTAAGTTTTCAGGCAATTCATTATCAAATAAAAATCACACTTTAGTATGGAGGTATGTTAAGATGCCATGTCTCTAGTCTGTTGAAAATTCGATGCGATTATCTGACCTAAATTTTCTGTTCAATATTGTGAAAACTTCTTCAATACTGTTAAAAGATCATGTCTATATCTGTTTCAAATTTATAGGTGCACAGCGTAAAATACCTTTGCAAAACGGACATCTTCTTTACAAAATAATTTGTAGTTGTATCATATGTAACTCGACTTTGAAAATTTAAAGTTTTATAATGGAGTAGAATGATACTTAAGTGCAAATATATAAAATAAATTCCGTAGACCTTTCCTCATCGGCGATAAAGAAATGCGATACGACAAAATCAGCGGTAAATAAAATGACTAAACGGAACGCATAACCTACTTGCAAAAATATATATTAGCTTAACCATTTATAATAAAACTTTAAAAATTTAAAGTTCAGTTTCAAAAATTTAAAGCTCATTATTAAAAAAATGAATACAATAAAATCTCACTAAAAACATAATAAAAACGGAATTGCGGATTTTTTGCTAATAAGTAAAAGGGGCTCAAATTTCGTGTGCCTTTTCAAAAAATTTGTAATTTTTCTCTTTTTTTATTTTTTTAAAAAAGGGCTTTTGATTAAAAAAGGTCTAGGAGGTTTACATGGGAATATTTTATTTTGTTACAAAAAAAGTAATACTCCCTTTTTAAATACGGGAAAAATTTTAGAAGATGTAAGCAACACTGGAAAACGTGTCTTGGGTTGGGTAAAGTGTTTTAATGTTTTTTGATTGTACGCTTTTCGGGATTTTAGATGTTTTAGGGACTAAAAAGCGACCGAAAAAGCGTTATAGAATTTTTAATTTTAATTTTTATGGCAAAAGGGGAGCTTGCTTTTGACTTAAGTGGGAAACAGAAATGGGGGGTTGGGGAATTTTAGCATACACCAAATTTTAAATTTAACCAATATGCGCTGCAATGAAAAATCAACTGGCGTATCATTTTTTTTTTTTTCAACTGGTGGGATCTTTCGTTAAAAATCTTTTTTCTTGAAAAAAACTCCTTTTGGGTTTAAATAGTAAAAGATGCAAAATTTGTTTTGAAATTTTTTGGGAAATTGAAACGAATATTTTTTTTATTTTTAAAAAAACTTAAAAATATTTAATTTCTTACTCTAAAAAATTTCTCCCTTATTAATTTTTTTAATTTTTTTTTTAAAAATGTTTGAAAATTTACCGAAAACGGAATGTTGGTTTAACTATTTTGGTTTTTTCATTTAAAAAAAATTATAAACAAAAACATACTTTTTCTCCAAGATGGCGGGTTTTTTTTACTTTGTAGGGGGATTACGAGCAGTTTGATTCCCAGCCTGCTGCCCAAGAGCTTGACTGAGTTCGACTTTGGTATTTTTTCAGTTGTACGGATTATTATAACCTGCCAAAATGACGGTTCCGAGTCCTTTACGCTTTTTAAGTATTTTGATGTCCATTTTGTTATCATGAGGTATTAAATTATTCGCTTTGATTGGCTAAAAGCAGGCGGTGTAGAACTGTTCAAATATTGTTAATTGTATTAAATACACTTGTTACTATATATAGCAACAAAATTGCCTATGATTTCAACTGATTATAAGTGTCATGTGACCGATTATGAGTTAACCAGCCCGCTGAACAAGAGTACGAGCACGACGTCACATTTTACGTCATCATAACAGCTAGCTGTTAAAATGAAAGTAGGTTTTAAGCACGAATCGCTTGATTTTATGATGCGAAGTTAAGCGTGTTTTGTACAAACACAGCAGTTTTATTATTTATATTGTATAAACTATAAAGCCATACTGTATATCTACTGAAAAATTTATTGTTTGAATTTAAAAAAAAAGAATACTTCCAAAATGCTTTTATGAAAAAAGACATGGTAGATCTAGATAATTGCCTTAAAAGCGAACGACGCATGCAAAAAATCATTGCTAAATGGATAAAACAAAACATAAAAGAGCAAATAATATTTTGTTCTGGAACATTTTATTCTCTTTGCGCACAATTGAGGGTGTCAAAATTCTATGTTAAAATATTTCGGGAATCAACCATATAATAATGGAACCAATTTTTTTTACTGTTGATATTTTTTTTTAAATATTTCATAAGAAATAGATTTAAAATACCCTTTGAAGAAAAAATACGACGAATTAATGAAAATAAAACTTGCTTCTGGATTCTAGAGTACTCTCATGAGGGAAGCAACTCTGCAGAAGTAACTGTACAGCAGAAAGCTACAGAGACAGGAATTTAACGAAAGTAATATCAAAGTATTTTTTTTTTTTTTTTTTTTGTGTTTTTTTATATGCTACTATTAGAGCAAGTAATACACGCCATGCGCTTCTTTTTGGGTTTCGGTAGCTATACGCCTAACGTCGCGGTTTGGGGTGTAATGGGATGGATATGCCCAGAAATTAGACAGTGGAAATTCATTGCTATTCATTTATCTAGATTGTCTTATATGCTTGATTGTAGAGTAAATAAACGAGTTGCACTTTGTACTGCATCTGCAGCAAATAGGTCATGTAAGAACTGGTTTTTCTATGTTAATGTTATGTTAAAAATATTAATGCACACCAATATAGTAATACATGTATAAAAATTCCCATTCCAAAACATACTACATGTAAAGTGAATATCGGTACAACTAAATTGCAAGAAAATTTTGTTTTAAACTGGCTCGAATCTATGAATAGTGTCACAGGTCCTTCTGGTCGTGGTGGCAATAAATTGCGTACATATCGACTGTTTAAAACAGAATATGAGACAGAATTGTATTGTACACTCATTAAGTATGCCTCCTTGTTATTGCACTGCATTTAGCAAGTTTCGTTGTGGTGTCGCGCCTTTACGCATAGAAACTGGAGGTTACGAAGGCTTGGATGTATTGGAACAAAAATGCCTGTTCTGTCACAGTATTGAAGACGAAAGGCATGTCATTCTTGAATGCTTTGTGTACGATGACTTGCGACAATCATTATTTGATAAAGCTAACAGTTAAACACGGTAGATAATCAAGAATGTCAAAAAATGAACAATTAATATTTCTGTTAACTTAAACTGAAATGATACGTTTTT